TAGGACAACATAAAGGGCCTCAGGGCTGTTTTTACCTGATTTCATGTATTTGGTCACAAAGAAAAAACTGAAACATGTATTAAATTTTAACCTGATTAAAGTAGATGAAAACCAGGGCATAACCAAAGCTATCAAAGAATTCAACTGCAACAGACCAAAGACTGGCCAACAGGCCAAGATTTTCACTGATAGGACCATATTAACAACACAGCTAAAACAATGTCGACACACTGTGTGTGCGACACTATTCCCAAGACAGTAAGTAAATTCAGGAAAGTCTTTTTTACAAATCCAGAGGACATTTTGAATTCCAGATCATGAGGTTATTTTGCTCCTTTAGGCCTTATAAAAATTGTTTGTGACAAAAGGGGAAGATCTGACTGAGAAACCAGAGGAAACGCCACACTCAAATGATTAGTAGTGCTTTATCCTCTTTTGTCCATTTTAATTCTTTTCATTTAAATTTTATTTAGATAGCACCAGAGTAAAGTAACTTCCGAGATATAAATAATGTTGTGCTTAATACATATGACCATATGGTGTATGGTGACCATAAAGTTATTAAGAAAGTGTTTACTAAGGTCATAAATTAATTAAACTTAATTGCTCCCTCCTGACTTTTAGAAAAAAATTCAGGTTCAGTCCAGTTCTGCATTAGCCTTTTTTAGACCTAGAAGTTATACCATGTTTAAAGCTAATGTATACTGTAATATTTATACAGTAACTGACTAACAAGCCCAAAATAAGGAACAAAGAAAAAGGCTGCACTGCTAATGTGACTAGCACCATGTATGACTCAGAGTATTAGAGAAAGATAAACTATTTTACACATAAAAGACAAGCAAATGCGTTTAAGCATCATATGCTTCCTTTCCAGCAAAAAGCTGAACTGTAGTGTTTCTGTTGTCTGGACCAACGCATTTAGTCATAGGAAAAAGAAAGTTTTCATGGGACTCTGGGTAGTATGCTGTCATGTGTTTGTGCAATGTTTTTGTTGTTTTATTTCCCAAATGTACAGTTGTACATTGTGTCTAAACATCTCCACGTTGGTTTGTTCATCCAAATGACATGTTTGGAGATAGTTTGTGGTTTGTTCAGATGCAACTTCCCAAAGCAAAGCCATACAGTCTTCTTCGTTTTAGCGAGAAGATACTTTCTTCTTTCAACCCTTCCAAACACAGTCAAACTTCCTTATTCATTTAGTAACATATGTCATTCTACACAATCTGATCTGAAGGTGAGTTTGCTTGGATGTCCTCGGGGGAAGATTGTATGATTTTATTAACACATTGACCAACACAACAACTTTTATAGATGTTGTGACATTTTGATGATATGTTGTCTGCACCTGGATGGTAGTGACTTCATAATTTCCTATGGAAACAGCAAGGATGTACTTTTCAAAGGACTGGATGGAGATCTGTCACAACTTTATTTTTACAACTGTGTATGTTCCCTCATCAGACAACTTTCAAGATTTTTAGTAAAATGTTTCCATTTTTTCAGATCATGAAAACAGGGATATTCTTCTGGTAAAGGCCAGATGTGTTTCATCCCACCGAGTCACACAAGGATAAATCTGGGGTCTAGGTAAAGCCTCAAGTGTACCACAGTGAACACCAATCAAATCCACTACTGCTTGAACTGTACCAGTGACCTACGATTGGCCTGAAGAGAACTTGGTTTTATTTGGTAACTGAAGTTAAAATTGGGAGCAAAGATCAGACAGATTTGTGGTAAACAGACAAACAGCAACAACAAACTGTGTGTGCACTGTAGCATCAACTGGTTAATACTAGAATACACACCTTACAATGCCCTGATGCATGCTCAATCATCCAGATAAGTAAATCCCCAAAGTTTGATTCTGTTCATCTGGATGTAGAGTTTTCAGTGGGAGAAACGTTTCATCACTCATCCAAGTGACTTCTTCAGTCTCAGCTGACTGCAGGTTTCCCCAAATCTCATAAACAGTACCTTTGCAAATTCCCATGACCATTGATTAACCCAAATGCAAATGGTAATATAACCTTTGTGATGGGTTTCAACCCAATTTTTGTTAACCTCAACTGCACCTCAACCCAATTTTTGGATAGTTATCCTAACCCAGTGTGCTGGGTCAAACCACTAACCCAACCATCTTAAGTTGAAACAACCCAGCGTTTGCTCGGTTCATATTTGGGTCACAAATTGGGTTATTTTTAACCCAATTTTTTTTAGGGTGCAGAATATTTTCATGGTATTATCAAATCAAAATAAAAAAATAAACTCAGAGTTATAATTATATAACATTTGGATCACTCTCAATATGTGTATAATAATAATATTTATTATGGCAGAATAAAACTGAATGAACAAACAAATCAGAAGAAAATAAAAGAGTGTTTCAAATGCATTTTGCCAAAATTACCTGGATCTCCTAAGCAGTCACTTTTTACAGTATGCAAGCTAGCAGGATTTATGGGTCATTCTGACCCACAATATTACTGTCTATGCCTAAGAAGTATAATACATGAAATAAACTGATGTACAAAAATAAGTAGTATATATTAATAATTAACTGAATATAGTTACAGTGGGGCAAAAAAGTATTTAGTCAGCCACCGATTGTGCAAGTTCCCCCACCTAAAATGATGACAGAGGTCAGTAATTTGCACC